GGTATCGGTACTCGGTATCGGCAAGTACCAAAATTAAAAGTATCGGTATCGGTGCATCCCTAATTTTTTCAGTAATTAAAATTATTTAAAAATAATAATTAATGATAATTAATTAATTAATAATTAATTCAAATAATAATTTAAAATTAAAGTATTTCTTTCTTTGTTGATCAATGTTGTTATAGTTAACTAAAACTATTAAACATTGCTTTCTGTGATTGAAATAAAGATCAAATAAAGTAAAATATAAATATAAATTTATTTTTTCACTCACTATAAATTATATATATCGAAATATATTTTTTAAAAAACTGACAAAAGCAGTGAAACTTAAACTAAAATTTAAAATCATATATATATATATTAATAGACAGTAGTTATTTTTTTCACTGAAGTCATTGCTGTGAATTCTGGGATTCTAGGCCTTCTCCGTAAAGGATACAATCAATGCCGCCTTCAGAGCGAGTGAATTTGTGAGAGCAAGCAAGAGTGATCAGGGTTTGTTTACACTTACAGCCACGTTTCGGATCTGTTGTCCACCCACAAGTTTTATCTGCTGCAGCAGAGCCCGAAACATGTGCGTGCTCTCCGGTGGGAAATCATTTATACTTCTCTCCAACACACTCTTCAGAACAGACATACTGCATCCCGCTCCAACACACACACCTACAAACACAAACCATTCATTAATGCTTCTTGCAAAATATCATTTTATATCAATATATAAGGGGATAGTTCACCCAAAAATGAAAATGATGTCATTATTTTCTCACCCTCAATTTGTTCCAAACAGTGGCTGGTAGCCATCGACTTCCATAGCATGGAGGGGGAAAAAAAAGACTATGGAAGTCAATGGCTACCGTCAACTGTTTGTTTACCAACATTCTTCAAAATATCTTCTTTGTTCAGAAGAAGAGGAAAAAACTCAGGTTTGGAACAACTTGAGGGTGAGTAAATTACATAATTTTCATTTTTGGGTGAACTATCTCTTTAAATTTGACTTTCGGCACTGTTAGATTTTGAATTGATTTCTGAGTATCTACTTATTGTAGTGACATATGCATAAGATGGTTTCATCAAGTTGCTATTCTTGGGCAATATTTTCATAGATTTTGTCCGCTTCTGAAGTGTTGTTATTGTTAATTAAAAATATAAAAATTGTTTCTGTTAATTGAAATAAAACTGAAATTAGATCAAATATATTACTTACAATATAAACTTACAAAACTTAAACTTAAAAAAAATTCAATTATACATACATATATATATGTATGCATGTAAACTAAAAATACAAAAAAAAATCTAGAAATATATAAAAACTCTAATAAAAAAAATCACAAAAGCACACAAACTAAAATACACAACTTAATCATAAAGTTTTGCAATATATTTTTGAAAGATTTTATTTGTAAATTTGTTTTGCAATATATTTTTGAAAGATTTTATTTTTAAATTTGTTGTTTTTGAGTCGCACCACATGACATTTTACTAACAGAAATATGACTTATCTATAATTCATCATTATTAGAATATATAAAAATAATTTTGATTATATTGAAATAAAAACAAAAAAAATATTTTTCATTCAAGTCATTTTACATATAAATTGCATTTAAATTCTTTTTTTAATTAATAGATAATAAAAAATGTTTACATCACTGACCTACATACAGGAGTGAAAGAGAGAAAATCAAGTCATGATCAGATAATTTAATCTCATAATATGGAGTGAGTGTAATCTATATTATAAAATCATATTTGAATTGACCGCACTCTAATATATTTTATATATTTTAATCCGTCTGAAAACTAAAGTCATGATCTGGATCTCATAATCTGGATTGGGCATAATATAGATTCTAATGTGAATCTGTTACCTGGACTGGGTGTAATTTGGTTTTGGTGCTTCCAATGCCTTCAACAGTGGTCACAGTTGGTTTGTTCGGCCATATTCTCAAAGTTTATGTCCAACTCAAACAAATTGAGGCAAATCTGCAGACTGGATGCCCTCTGAGATCTCCGCCAAAACTGAGAAACATGTTTATTATTTATTATTCATGTTTATTATTAACTCAATGCTATTATTAATGTCTAAAATACTCATTCTGGGCAAAACTACAAAACACGAAACCGACGTTTTCACGTGTAATCTGTTACTTTTCTCAGCGCTGACTGACTGAACCAATTACAGCAGTTGAGACTACTGAAGAAGTGTTTTTAACAAACCTTTAATAAAGAATACTTACATTACCTATTTTGATTACATATCAGGTACTAATTCGCGAAATTAGTCGATTTAAATGATGAGGCGTTTTAGAACAAAAAGGTCTCCATTCAGTCAAAACCCGTTTGAATGTTTGAATGTTACTTGACTTTTGAGCCACCGAGCTTCGTTCATCACTTTTCCGTGGTTCTCTGTTGCTGAATCTTTCGTTTTCGTTTGGGTTTGTCTTGCTGACAGGCTTTTAAAAGTGCATGGCAGACTGAATTGCTGTAGTTTGCAATATTTCAATTTTATTTGCCCATATTTACCACGCGACAGAGGCATAAATGCAACTTTTAAATCTGGCCATAAGATGGCGCCAGAGGCCGATGCGTAATTACCGCATCTGACCACTAGATGGCGGTAGAAGCAAAAATAATAAAACTACCAATACCGGCTGTGCAGAAAGTTAAATTTATCCAGAATTATCCATACATTTAACAAAAGGACTAATACAATGCTTCAATGTCGTTTTTTCCCCCTTGTACACACAATGTTTCAATGTTGTTGTTTTCTACTTGTACACTCCACATTTTAAACTATATGAAAACACATATTCACAACAGTTTTCCCTCAGGACTATAGATAGAAATGTATTTTCACTGTTAATGAGCCGAAGAATGACAATAAATTGAGTTTGCCCACTGTCTCTGTTTTCTGAGGCTGTTGGAACTCACTTCAGCAACTGTTCTTTTACTACTCTTGAGTTTTAGCCACTGCACTACACCACCTAACCTCGCTAAAATATGTCTCTGAATCATTGTCACAAGTAGCAATTGCATTGTTCACAAGCATGACATTAGTGCAGTAGCATATCTCTCACAGTATCAAGCTAAGTAGCAGCGTAGCATGACAATTCTTTTTGAAGACTCATTACACAGTATCAATTCAGTGTACAGAGCAGCTGTTAAACGAGCAGATCTACCGAGCTAATGTACATTATACAGATTTTTGGAAATGATCAGAAATTTGCCATATTTGTGGACAAACGTTAATTAGCATCTTTAAAGAAACAGATTTGCATACATTTATTTCATAAAGACCACAAAAACATTCATTGATAGTTCATCATGAAACAATTTAGCAACATTTTGCAAATTACCAAAAAATAATAAGCAGCTAGCTACATTTCCAAGTAGCTTACTCACCTCTTGCCAATGTTAAATGCAAGGAAGTTTATCAAACTTAGAGAAAGCTATACATTAGTATTTCTCATGGCAACATGAAACTATTTTAGCTAATCACATGAACTGTAAACACCATCTGACAGATTCTTCTGAAGGCATCACTAATTGTTTGATAAAATGAGGCACTGGTAAGACATCATCTTTAATGCAATGAAATATTTGTGATTCATATGTTGTAGGCAAAAAATAATGGCACATTTTAAATGTCTGTCAGTGGAGAAAGATGCTAACCATGCTAAAGGTAACCAGCAAAACATTGGCCTACAGGGCCTCATTTATGAAACATGAGCAGAACGAATGCATGTCATCCATAAATCTATTAGTACTGTATGTAAATTGTCATATTAAATTAGATGTTTAAACAGTTTTACAAAATATTTACACAGATTTTTTGCACAAATTTACACAGATACAAATTCTGTATGTGAATCATGAATAAGGCCTAATGGATGTACAGTACAATGCAAAAAAATATATTTTTTTTTCTCTTTTGTCAGTGTTTTTTTTATTTTTTATTAACAAATTATTTATTCGTTTTTTTTTCCCTGTTTGGACACCTTTGAGATATGGAGAGGTTTACGTTTCTCATAATTCCCACTGAGTTAATAATATTTTTGGTCACCCCCTTGTACGTGTAGGGTGCTAAA